CTTAATTATCGTGAGCAGGGGGTCAGGGAATCCAAAAGCTTTATTGACCAGGTCAATAAAGCAGAGATGTAGGTCTTGTTGGCATTCCCTACACCTCTGCTGTGGCAGACGGACAGAAAATATGGCATTCGTGCAGGACCGCCCTTTCCTGAAACCGCATTGGGGCTCCGCAAACCTCTCCTCACCATGCCTGGCAAGGCGATGTTGAATAATCCTTGCCAGGACCTTTCCCGGCACACTGAGGAGTGAGATGCCCCTGTAGTTGTTACAGTCTGTGCGGTCCCCCTTTTTAAAGAAGGGGACCACCAGGGCATCCTTCCAATCCTGCGGAACCCGTCCAGTGGTCCAGACTGTTGGTATGATGTCATATAGGGCAGTCTGTGCACAAACGCCACCCTCCCTCAGCATTTCGCTTGGGAGATCATCTCTGCCTGGTGCATTTCCTGGTCTCAGACTCAGTACTTCTTCAACAGATGGCACCTCAGCTAGCCACTCACAGGGGGCGACTTCTTCCAATATTTGAGGCACCGCAGCCTCAGCAGGGTCAATACACAGTACACAATGTCAAGATTAATACACAGTACACAATGTCAAGAGTAATACACAATGTCAAGATTAATACACAGTACACAATGTCAAGAGTAATACACAATGTCAAGATTAATACACAGTACACAATGTCAAGATTAATACACAATGTCAAGATTAATACACAGTACACAATGTCAAGAGTAATACACAATGTCAAGATTAATACACAGTACACAATGTCAACAGTAATACACAATGTCAAGATTAATACACAGTACACAATGTCAAGAGTAATACACAATGTCAAGATTAATACACAGTACACAATGTCAAGAGTAATACACAATGTCAAGATTAATACACAGTACACAATGTCAAGAGTAATACACAATGTCAAGATTAATACACAGTACACAATGTCAAGAGTAACACACAATGTCAAGATTAATACGCAGTACACAATGTCAAGATTAATACACAATGTCAAGATTAATACACAGTACACAATGTCAAGAGTAATACACAATGTCAAGATTAATACACAGTACACAATGTCAAGAGTAATACACAATGTCAAGATTAATACACAGTACACAATGTCAAGAGTAATACACAATGGCAAGATTAATACACAGTACACAATGTCAAGAGTAATACACAATGTCAAGATTAATACACAGTACACAATGTCAAGAGTAACAATGTCAAGATTAATACACAGTACACAATGTCAAGAGTAACAATGTCAAGATTAATACACAGTACACAATGTCAAAAGTAATACACAATGTCAAGATTAATACACAGTACACAATGTCAAGAGTAATACACAATGTCAAGATTAATACACAGTACACAATGTCAAGAGTAATACACAATGTCAAGCTTAATACACAGTACACAATGTCAAGAGTAATACACAATGTCAAGATTAATACACAGTACACAATGTCAAGAGTAATACACAATGTCAAGATGAACATACAGTACACAATGTCAAGAGTAATACACAATGTCAAGCTTAATACACAGTACACAATGTCAAGAGTAATACACAATGTCAAGATTAATGCACAGTACACAATGTCAAGAGTAATACACAATGTCAAGATTAATACACAGTACACAATGTCAAGAGTAATACACAATGTCAAGATTAATACACAGTACACATTGTCAAGAGTAATACACAATGTCAAGATTAATACACAGTACACAATGTCAAGAGTAATACACAATGTCAAGATTAATACACAGTACACAATGTCAAGATTAATACACAGTACACAATGTCAAGAGTAATACACAATGTCAAGATTAATACACAGTACACAATGTCAAGAGTGATACACAATGTCTAGATTAATACACAGTACACAATGTCAAGAGTAATACACAATGTCAAGATTAATACACAGTACACAATGTCAAGAGTAATACACAATTTCAAGATTAATACACAGTACACAATGTCAAGAGTAATACACAATGTCAAGATTAATACACAGTACACAATGTCAAGATTAATACACAATGTCAAGATTAATACATAGTACACAATGTCAAGATTAATACACAATGTCAAGATGAATACACAGTACACAATGTCAAGAGTAATACACAATGTCAAGCTTAATACACAGTACACAATGTCAAGATTAATACACAATGTCAAGATTAATACAGAGTACACAATGTCAAGATTAATACACAATGTCAAGATTAATACACAGTACACAATGTCAAGAGTAATACACAATGTCAAGATTAATACACAGTACACAATGTCAAGAGTAATACACAATGTCAAGATGAATACACAGTACACAATGTCAAGAGTAATACACAATGTCAAGAGTAATACACAGTACACAATGTCAAGAGTAATACACAATGTCAAAATTAATACACAATACACAATGTCAAGAGTAATACACAATGTCAAGATTAATACACAGTACACAATGTATGGATTTAAAGCTTTCGTGACTGCAAGGATTCATCTTCTTTGGTTCTTTCGGTAAAGTCACGTAGAATGAGAATAAAATAATAAATTGATAAAATATTATTGTGTTATTTTATTTTACAAATTTATTATTTTATTCTCATTCTACGTGACTTTACCGAAAGAACCAAAGAAGAGTACACAATGTAACACACAGTACACACAGTACACAATGTAACACACAGTACACACAGTACACAATGCAACACACAGTACACAATGTAACACAGTACACAATGTAACACAGTGCACACAGTACACAATGTAACACACAGTACACAATGTAACACACAGTACACAATGTAACACATAGTACACACAGTACACAATGTAACACACAATGTAACACACAGTACACACTGTAACACACAGTACACACTGTAACACACAGTACACAATGTAACACACGGTACACACAGTACACAATGTAACACACAGTACACAATGTGACACACAATGTAACACACAATGTAACACACAGTACACAATGTAACACACAGTACACAATGTAACACACTGTAACACACAGTACACAATGTAACACACAGTACACAATGTAACACACAGTACACACAGTACACAATGTAACACACAGTACACACAGTACACAATGTAACACAATGTAACACACAATGTAACACACAGTACAAAATGTAACACACAATGTAACACACAGTACACACAGTACACAATGTAACACACAATGTAACACACAATGTAACACACAATGTAACACACAGTACACACAGTACACAATGTAACACACAATGTAACACACAATGTAACACACAGTACACAATGTAACACACAATGTAACACAGTACACAATGTAACACACAATGTAACACACAGTACACAATGTAACACAATGTAACACAATGTAACACACAGTACACACTGTAACACACAGTACACAATGTAACACACAGTACACAATGTAACACACAGTACACACAGTACACAATGTAACACAATGTAACACACAATGTAACACACAGTACACAATGTAACACAATGTAACAGACAATGTAACACACAGTACACACAGTACACAATGTAACACACAATGTAACACACAATGTAACACAATGTAACACACAATGTAACAATGTAACACACAATGTAACACACAATGTAACACACAATGTGACATAATGTAACACACAATGTAACACACAATGTGACACAATGTAACACACAATGTAACACACAATGTAACACACAATGTAACACAATGTAACACACAATGTAACACACAATGTAACGCACAATGTAACACACAATGTAACACACAATATAACACAATGTAACACACAATGTAACACACAATGCAACACAATGTAACACACAATGTAACACAATGTAACACACAATGTAACACACAATGTAACACACAATGTAACACAATGTAACACACAATGTAACACACAATGTAACACACAACGTAACACACAGTGCAACACACAATGTAACACAATGTAACACACAATGTAACACACAATGCAACACAGTACACAATGTAACACACAATGTAACACACAATGTAACACACAGTGTAACACACAATGTAACACACAATGTAACACACAATGTAACACAGTGTAACACAATGTAACACACAATGTAACACAATGTAACACACAATGTAACACACAATGTAACACAATGTAACACACAGTGTAACACACAATGTAACACAATGTAACACACAATGTAACACACAGTGTAACACACAGTGTAACACACAATGTAACACAATGTAACACAATGTAACACACAATGTAACACAATGTAACACACAATGTAACACACAATGTAACACACAATGTAACACACAATGTAACACAATGTAACACACAATGTACCACAATGTAACACACAATGTAACACAATGTAACACAATGTGACACACAATGTGACACACAATGTAACACAATGTAACACACAATGTAACACAATGTAACACACAATATAACGCAATGCAACACACAATGTAACACAGTGTAACACAATGTAACACACAATGTAACACAATGTAACACACAATGTAACACACAATGTAACACACAATGTAACACACAATGTAACACAATGTAACACACAATGTAACACACAATGTAACACAATGTAACACACAATGTAACACAATGTAACACAATGTAACACACAATGTAACACAATGTAACACACAATGTAACACACAATGTAACACAATGTAACACACAATATAACACAATGCAACACACAATGTAACACAGTGTAACACAATGTAACACACAATGTGACACACAATGTGACACACAATGTGACACACAATGTGACACACAATGTAACACACAATGTAACACACAATGTAACACACAATGTAACACACAATGTAACAAACATCCCCACGTGAGCACGGGGGATCGGGAACAAAGCAGGGCAGGAATCGATTCCCCATCTCGACGATTTGCGAATCTCTCGCATGGAATCGAATCTACCACTGCTCTCGGTCTCGTGTCGCGCGACACGGCGAAGTGGAGCGGCGGCGATCCCCGGGGGCTGACCGAGACACGCGGCCCCAGAGACCTCCACCACCTCTACCACCGCCTCCGCCGGAGCCGCCGCACACCGCCCGACCGCTCGCACCGGGCCCTGCCACCGGTCCCCGTGGTGGGGAGAGACGTCGGCGGCCGCCGGGGAAAGACCGAGCCGAGCCGAGGTGGTCCGCGCCCCGGTGCGATGCGGGGCCTCGGCGCTCGGATAGACGCTCGCCCGGGACCGCGCGGCCTTCCGCGGCCTCTGTGAGCAGCATGGCAGGGGGTCTGGCCCGGCTTGTCGGCCTTGCGAAGCGCGCTGTGGCCTCGTGGGGACCGCGGGGAGCTGAACAGGCAGGGGGCGGAGGAGCGGGCGGCTTACGCAAGGTGCGACTGGCGTGGCGTTGTTGTGTGGTGGTATGTGTGGAGGTGGTGCGTGGTGGGTTGGCTGCTGCGTTGTTGTTGTTGTGGTGTTGTTGTCGGTGTTGTGTTGTTGCGGTGGTGCTGGTGTGATGGGGAGCGGTGGTGCAGTGGTTAGCGCTACGCTGCGATACGAACCCGGCGACCGAGTTCGATTCCCGCTCACGGCCATCACCGGTGACGATTGTCTGAACCGGTCCTGGGCCTCCCCTAGGTCGACTCAGCCTCGAATGAGTACCTGGTGCGGTGTTTAAACATCGCCACTAGGGAGACAAAGGCGGCCGGGCGTGGTGTTGGCCACCCACCCCCTCGTGTACCGTTCTGGCCTTCACAGGTGCTCGCTAACAGCACTTGCCCCTACAGTATGTTAAGGCTACACGGGGGATCTCTGTCTTGGTGGTGTGGAGTGGTTCAGAGTGGTGTGATTTAAAGTGGCGTTGAGTGATGTGCTGTGATATTCTCAAACCGGGGGGATCCTGGGATAACCATCGGGGTCGAGCCTTGGGGGTCGCGGGGTTTCATGACAGGGAGGGGGCGGGGGGGGGCATTGCGGTCCCGGATGGGGGGCTCGGCTTGGACCGGCCTTTGGCGTTCAGGGGGACTGGGGCAAGACCAGAGCCGCTGCCAGGGACGTGAAGCCGCGGGGTTCTGGGGGGCGGCGTGGCGGATCCCAGCCCTAGGTAGGAGCGAGCCGGACGGGGATTGGATGCTGGTGGGCGTCCGACGTCCCTCGATGATTCATGAACGCCGCTGGGGAGCCGCGACTCCCGGTGGCATTCCCGTGACGCCCCTGCCGCCTATAAAGCGCCGCGCCCCGCGGCTGCTTCCAGCCGGGCGCTGGGTGCGGGCAGAAGCAGCGGCGGCGACAGAAGCAGGAGGAGGAGAAGCAACAGGGGGAAGAGGACGAGTGGGAAGAGGGACGGGGGGAGAAGGAGGGAGAGGATGCCTCGCCGGCCTCGCCGTGGCTCGGGGAAGCGTGTAAGACGGTGGCCTGGCCACTGCGTTGGGCTCAAGCGGGGCGGCGGTGGTTGGACGTGATGGGGTGGTGTGTGTGATGGGGTGGTGTATATAATGATGTGGTGTATATAATGATGTGGTGGTGTATATAATGATGTGGTGGGTGTGATGGGGTGGTGTATATAATGATGTGGTGTGTGTGATGGGGTGGTGTATATAATTATGTGGTGGATGTGATGGGGTGGTGTATATAATGATGTGGTGGGTGTGATGGGGTGGTGTATATAATAATGTGGTGTGTGTGATGGGGTGGTGTATATAATGATGTGGTGGGTGTGATGGGGTGGTGTATATAATGTGGTGGGTGTGATAGGGGTGGTGGACGTGATGATGTGGTGTGTGTGATGGGGTGGTGTATATAATGATGTGGTGGGTGTGATAGTGGTGGTGGACGTGATGATGTTGTTGGTTGCTGTGATTGGGCGGTGGATGCGACGGTGGAAGATGGATTTTCACGCCTGCTGTGCTGCGGCGAGGGAGATGGCTGTTTTTGTGGTCGCGATTTTAATAAAGTGCAGGACCGGCCTGAGCTCAGGCGCCCAGCTCCGAGGAATGTTCCGGAATCATTTTCGTTGCAGTACAGAACTATGTACATTTCTTCAATTGACATCGTCAAATCGATTTTTTTTATCCTGGAGGAATCCGATGTGCTGTAAAGTGATTGTTGGCCACATTTGAGATAACTCAATGTTAAATATCACCTGGCTTCTCTCTCTTTTAATTTCTATAAAATATAGTACTAATGTGTCGAGGATTCATTGCTGCAAGTCAATTAAACACTTGATCTTTAAAAATTCTCGTTTTTAGTCTCGTTTGTAACATTCCTCATTTTTACCCATCTCAGTCCGACCATTTTCTCGTCCTAGTTGCCATCAATGTAACATGGCAAGATAAATTTCACACCGTACATTAGCTGTGGTAAGTGACATCGAAACTGGCCCTCCAGTGCTGACTCGTGCTGAAGTGTGGACAACCCACATGATACTCAGGCCTGTACATTCTTACATCTCACATAGCGTGCACGATGACTCGTGTGTCTCGTGAGCGGAACACATCACTGCTGTGTAAGTTATCACAGTCCGACGTTTCGCTCCACGTGCTTGAAGCTTCCTCGTAGGAACTGAAGAAGATCCATCCCTTGGCACGTGTGTCGAAACGTCGGAAGGCGAATAGATCGGAGGGCGTAACAAATTGATAGTAATCGTCCGATCAATACGTCGTTGATTACCTCTAATGTATTTTCTCGATGTGTCCACCTCGCCTCGCACGTCTGTAGGACAAGCCAGACGAGCCTGGACTTGGCAAGAATGAGACCATGATCCGCGTTCTGCCATCCAAGGAGGCGGCGGCGCTGGCGGTGGACGAGGTGGCGTGCATGCTGCAGGTACCTGCGCGGAGCCCCGCCAGGCCAGAGTCGTGTGGCACTACTACATAAAGACAAACGGTGGCAAAGATACATAGGCCTTTGGGACAAATGCTCATTGGCGAGCGCCAATGAAGGGCGGCACGGCGTTCGAAGGGGTGGTGTGGCCACAACCACGCCTGGCTGCCTTTGTCATCGCAGATGCTTCCTGTACCAGGTGCTCTCTTTGAGGCTAAGTGTACCTAGGGGAGGCCCTGGAATGGTTAAGATGATCGCCATGTTAACAGTGGTCGGAATTCAAACTTGGGCAGCTGTGTTTGTAGTGCGCTATGCTCGCTGTGGCATTTGCGCTTCCTCACTGCCGACATGTGAGACGCGCACACGCTGTTCTCGCGGTGTTTGTGCAAACACGGGAACAAGAGTAACTCCTGTGCCTCGGAGGCTGACGTGTCTTATCTTTCCTGCTCATTCGCTCGCTCTCGCCCCTCCCTCACCACGCATCTGTGTCCTGCCCGTTCACCTGTGGGTTTTCATTCGCTGTGTTTGCACAGTGAGGTTTAGCAACTTTTCTCAGGGCTTTGACGTGGCCTTAGTGACTCGGAGAACGTCCGAATGAATGATAACTTTACAAGTCTTCGTCCTGAATTGTGCTTGTTCACAACTGTCAACGCAGCAGCACCAAATAATAATAATAAGTCTACATCCAGATAAGTTAACCAGGCTATTCCTCCGCTTGTTGCGTGGTGAAATGCTTTTATGTCTGTGAATTTTCGCAGTTCATAGCGGAGTTGGGAAGTGAAAAGCAAAACTTGACTAACCAGTATCGCCACCGCCCTGTGCACACGCGCGGCTTGTGATTGTGGGGACTTGTTTTTCCTCAGACTCATGTTCAAAGTAAAGTTTGATTGATAACGAAAGAGACGTGGTGGTGTGGTGGGCGGGTCCGGTGGAGGTGGCGGGGTGGTAGATTTAGAGTTGTGTACGAAACATCCCTTGAAGTCAACAAACTTTGCAGAGCGCAACGTCGGAAAGGGGACGTGGCGGGTGAGATTAATGAAATAATCCTGCCTGCCCGTCGCTGGCTGCTGCGCCCTCCTCATTCGTTAGAAAACGAGCCGAGCGAACCGGGGAATTCACGCTCGGAGAGGAGCGGCGACGACGTTAATGAAGCGCGAGCGGTTAAGGGGAATGCGTGGAGAGGGAAGGGACGGGTCCTGCTGGTGCGAGACCGGGACGCTTACTCGGCGTATTTAATGTCAGCGTCTGACGGAGCAGAAACCACATAATTCGTCTTCAGATTTCATATTTGCAAGATCCTCCCTCTTGAGTCGAGTTGTTACTATTCACCTCCCAGGCAGTTGCAAGTCGATTAAAGCACCGGTTTCCACTGTTTACACCTTGATGAATGTAACGGCCACTCGTGGCTGGATGGGTCACGTGAACCCATTACATACAACGTACGGGTATAAAAAGCAACGTTGTTTCTTACACAAGCGATTCGATGCATACATCGTGAGCCTGTTAACTGTTGGTGGTGCCCTGTTACGCCTTCACTCATGAGTCCGCAAGGGAGCGGAGGCATTCGCAGAGGCAGTTTGAGACGGCTGCATGGCAACGAACGTTCACCGTTCACCCCGTCAGGCTTCAACGAGCTCCCACTCGACACTTTTACTGCATTACATTCTCCAACCAAAATTTGGGCAGTGTTACACGCGCCTTGCTACCGGTATCCGCACATCGTGCATTCAAGATGCAGTCACGCTCTGCAGTCGGTGTCTCTCTGTCTCATTCTCTGCCCTCCCACCGGCTTGAGTCCCAGCCTCCCTCCACCCTCCCTGCCCAGAGCTGAGCTGGCACTGTGGGTCAGAGCCCTGCTGCCCCAAGCGGTGTTGTCTGCACCGCCGCCACCTCGTAACCGGTGGCCTTGGCGTTGGGCGTTGTCCGAGTGGTTTAACGCATGTCCTGACCCACTTCTGCTGCGTAGGCTTTTGAAGCTATGCTGCCGTGTGGCTCTCCGATGTGTTTTTGTGTTGTCCCGCGTGCTGTTTGGCACGATGTCTGACATTTCGGTCCACCGGCTGGGAGCTTCTTCAATTCGGTTTCAAGTGCCGGGAGCTTCCTCAGGGAACTGAAGAACGCTGATATCGTCCTGAAGGAACGTCGAGCATGGCGCAGAACCCACACACGGCACAACCCCAAAACATATCGGAGAGCCGAGATGCATTCATTCCGTGACCCGGTTGTGCGGTGTGGATAATGCGGCCTGACGTGTGGACTCCTAGGAAGGGCGTTCTCGCACAGTCGGCTGAAGAGTGTGGGGAAGGGGGGAGGGGAGGTATGGAGGATGGGCAGGCAAGATAATCCCTTGACGCACACAGTCTCATTAACCCGTGTGTGTCGCACGGAGCTTATCCTCGAGAGATTGGGGGGACGGGGTAGGAGGAGAATTTGCGACGTGGAAACCGAGCGCCGTGAAACGTAACGTTCGCGGAGCGCGGTGAACGCTGTTCTGTCGGTGCCTCGCGTGGTGCGGCATTGTGATTGTAGGATACGTGAGGGGAAATATGCCCCGTATTACATTTTATACTTAAGTTAAACAACAAGTCTGGGATGCTGGCTGAGCGATTGTAAAATGCGTTTCGGGGCAGCCATCGGGACCAGCCTGACGTTCAATGGCCCCGTTCATCCCGCAGCCTTCTGTACTGTGACATCCAGTAGGGTTGGGCACCGCTTGACGTTTGTGATTCCTGACATCGGAGCCCATCCTGCCCTCTGCCTCCCGCTCCGGTCTCCAACCCGCACTCACCGGCGTGGAGAGATGTGCGGTCCCAAAGTCTGCATGACTGGCATGGCATGGGGAGGCTTTCATCCAACAGTGGATTTTATGTTCTGCATGAGTTCCATCCAAGATTTCCACTTTCCTTCCATTCGCTAACAAAACCCCCGACAGTGCAACCGGTATTGGCCAAACATCCCAATGCTGAAAACTCACCTGCAAAAGACTAAGTTGGGATCCAATTCAGCATGACCCTACTGAAAAAGAGTCGTGAGACTCAGTGAGGCTTTCCTGGCTACTAGACCAGTTTAATAACAACAACACAACAACAACACCGAGAATAAAGTAATGATAATAATCTCCCCACCCTCTTTGTGAATTGTCACGGTTCACGCTGATGTTTAGATTAGGGCCGTGGATTCTGACCGTTTCACTTTTAGGGACTGGTTTGCAAACTTCGCGAGCGAGCGATGCGTCGGAGGAGGTCGTCGAGTGCGTGGTTGTGACCGGCGCCGTCTTGTGTCTCACGCGTGCAGGCAAGCCTCCAGAGCGGGCTAGCCACCAGCGAAGTGCTGCACAGGAGGGCCTACCACGGCTGGAACGAGTTTGAGATAAACGAGGAGGAGCCGCTATGGAGGAAGTACATTTCCCAGGTACGCGGTGGGGGGGGGCTCGTGGCGCCGCGGGGAACGGTGGCGGCGCGCGTGATGTTTTGTGTTTGCACGTTAAGCCTGAGCGAAAAGAAATCTGCAGAATTGCAAAGTGCATGAGAGCTGCCTCCCTTGTAAAAGTAATAATGCGAACTTGCGGTGAGCTTCCGGTGGGGTGTGCCACGAGGTGGCTTTCTGGCACAGCTGTTGTCAGTCTGGTGGCAAATAAATGGCGGCGTTTTTCTGGCTTCGCGTGACTGCGTTGCCATCGGTGCCGGGCAGGGCCTCGATTGTGTACGTGTTGTAACTTGGATCCTCGGAGCCGTAAAAGCGAATTGCTCGTAACGAGGCAGATAAGCTGTAAGTACGGTTAGTGGCCCCGTTCGGTAATTCATTGCCTCGTCACTTTTCCGTTACCACATCAACTAAAGTTTCAGGCGGCCTTGGGCAACAGTGGCAGGTGATCACGTGACCATAGGCGAGGAAGCACACGTGGTATCCGCTACCGTGGGCCATTGCCGTACACGAAGGGTTGCACTGCTGTCGTTATTTTATGACGTGATCGCCGATTGCGCAATTGTGCGTTCTCAACGGGGGCTCCTTTTTTAGGGGGTTCAATTCCACGGCTTACAGTCCAGACACCAGGAGTAAAACTCGTAAAACAGGAATTCAAGCACTGTTTTTACAACACAAGCGGCAGTGTGCTGTGCGCTCGCGACCGGTGGACTACGAAACAATGGCCGCGTTCGCGCGACGGCGTGACGACGGCATTCCACAAACCGTTAGACGGAGGTCACGCGGTGAGCTGCAGACGATGACGCGGCTACAGTGCGTGCAGCTGACATTTTGCTGCAGAGAGGCTGAGATGAAAAGTTTCTCAGGGAGGAACTTTGAATGTTAGCAGGCCGGGTTATTTTGTGATTGTTGTTATTACGCTTGCTTACCCACGAGAGCCTTGCTGAGTCACAAGACCCGCTCAGTTGGGTCTTGTCAAGTTTTTTCAGTCGGGGGCATTGCTGCTGCTGTGTGTAATCCCAAATGAGTAATTTGCAGGTGATTCTTCAGCATTGGTAGATGGGTTTGGCCAACACCAGTTACAGTGTATGTTTATTTTAGTTATGCGAGGAAACCGGAGAACCCGGAGGAAATCCATGCAGAACAGGGGGCGAGCACATACACAAACTGCATTCATTCACAACTCCATCATCCACACACACTCAATCATACACTCGCACCCGCACTTTGCAAAACAGGGGGAGAACACACACACCCCACGCTGGAAGGCACCCAAGTTGGGAGTCGAGCCCAGGCAAATCTTGCCGTTAGATACGAGCATCACCACTGCACCGCGTTGCCGCCCGGGTCATGTAGACTTCTGGAATGTTACCGCAACCATGTATCCCGAGGGTGGTTGCCATGGCTAGGACATGGGTGAACTCCACGTGTAAACATCTCGGTGCGTGGGGTTTCACATTTTGTAATTAACTTCTCTCAACGTTGGCACATTTCAAGAGCGCCCTGCGGCATTTCTGCCACAGCGTGCGTCACGTGTTGCATTTCGGTGATCGCACAAGACCAGAGAAACACGTTTTTAATTTCAAGGCGGAAATGTTAAAAACAACTTTGGCGAGCAATTCTCCGTTCCGTTAAAAGCGTCACATGCTGCCGCACGACGTGACCAACGCGCAGGAGGAGAAGGGCCTCCGCCATTATTTGCGTTTGTCTGCCGGCCGCGATCGCCAATCACGACCATGGCCCCCAACATTTTGCTTTTTGTACCCCGTGACATTTGCTTATCTTGACGTTGAGCAGCAAACACAGCCGCCGCAAATTCCAGCTCTCTAATTACAAGTTCCCTGGGCTGCCCGCGTGCGGCGTTATTGTCGGGCGTTGCCCAATCACGGGCCGGCCCCACTCCCCGTCGGTGAGATCGAGTGCCCGCCGGGAGACGTGAGAAATAATTCAGGGGTTGCTTTGACCGTAAATTAGCGACCCACGTAGAGTAGTTGCCTGTGTACTTAGCCATAATTGAGTCTGCGGTGGCGTGGCGACGCGTTGATGTCATTGCACATTTAGTTGTGTTCGAGCAAACTTGATTGACAGACTCGAGGCGTCCGCGGATTAAATTAGCATTGATGAGTCGCTTGGCTTAATGAACGCATGCGTTCGCATCTCACGGCACGGCATTTAGTCGAGTGAAACAAATGGGAACATTAAATAACGCACGCGAATTGGAGACGTTGCGGTGACAATCGAGGAAAGTTTGTGGGCTTTGGGCAGGAAGCGTCGATGGCCGTGCACCAGACTGACGATGAGAGAATGGCGGCCAGGAGAGACAAACATCTCGCGGTGAAATAGGCCGGATCCTAGGCGCAAGGCGGATAGTTACATCGTAAGATTGCGAGACATGACGGTGGCTTGGGGGGGATGCCAGTCACCCAGCAGATGATGGCCGATGATGACGACGATGATGATGATGATGAATGAATGAGCGTGTTGGTCTCGGCAGAGAGGCCGCACTGCTCGTCGACATCGTTAGTGGAGTTGTTTATGGCGCCGCACGAGCCGTCTGGATTAAGTCGCGTGCGGCGCTTTTTATTTGACGGCGAAAAAGTTTGACGGGCAGACGGGAAAACTTCTCGTCGCTGTACAGCGCTCTCCGCCGAACGAAAACAGTCGGCGCGCACCTTTGGTGGCGCGGGGGTGACGGCGAGGGGGAACGGTTCCACAGAGGAGGCTCATCACGGGTGGCGACGGCGGCGGCGCGTGAAGCCCCGCCGAGAGAGCTCCGGGTAATTGGTCTCGGAAGCGTTTAATTAGCGTGGAGCCAAGAGCGCCGTCGAGAACCGACCCGGCATCAGCGCCCCCCCACCCCTGCGTTGCTGTCGCCTGTCGTGCGCCGTGCGACTTTGTGACCAAGTGTGGCGAGTTTTGGGAAACCGGGGGTTGCCGCTTGGATTTAAGGGGGCAGCCGGGGGGGTGGCAGGGCGGCAATATCCGTCGTTGTGCTCTACTGTCTATGCTGCCGTAGCCATCTTCACCAAACCCATAGACCAAGCAGTGTGGTGAAATATGGTCTAATAAGCCCCCACAATACCACTGCTCACACAGTCCCTTAAGAAAACACACCCCCTCCTTCTCCACGACTTTAAATCACGGGGATCTCCTTTCCCAAAGCCCCAAAATGCCGAGCGACAAGCAACAAACATCGCTATTAAAGGTGTAATAGATGAGAGTTTTTTCGTTTCTTGAATGGTGGACATCTACACGTGCATTCACAGATTGCCATGTGTTAAAAAAGCCTTATTCTCTGGAGGCCGGCAGTGAGTCTGGTCCTGTGTTGTTGTTTGTGGTCGCGAGTGGTCCCGTGTGGTTGTGTGTGGTCACGTGTGGTCCCGTGTGGTTTTGTCGCCACAGTTCAAGAACCCCCTGATTCTGCTGCTGCTCTCTTCGGCCGTCATCAGCGTCCTCATGAATCAGATCGACGACGCGGTCAGCATCACTGTGGTGAGAGTCGCACGGGGGCCGAAGGGCGTCACCGCCAGGCCCTGCCGCGTCCCGGCGATTCACAGCGCACGATGCCGGCGCGTGTCGCTCGGTTGCGTGCATCTCTCGGTTGTGTTTGTGCAACAAAACGATGACGGTGGGGAGGGAGGGGGGTGTTCAGATGTCAGAGACGCTGAGCCTGGCAATGCCGAGGTGCTGCGCCGGAATCCGGGTCTCTAGTCGCCTTTCATTAAATGGGTTCTCCACTGGAGTGAGGTTTGATGGTCTCAGCCCAGTTACCAAGGACCACACGAATATAAACCGTCGCATTCGTTTTGGTTCTGCACTCAATTTGACCAAATTCGAAATATATCGGTTTGACTGTCATGCAAGAGGTCACTGTAAGGGATTTCAGAGGTAGCTCTGTGGTGTCCGCTTTCACGGACCAGTCTCAAACCAGGAGGAGCTTCCTCTGCTGTGCGGGAGATCCGAACGATGCTTTGTCACTTGGTGCAACGGCGATAGCGCAATCAGATAAAACTCGGGCAAAAGATTAAATTGTTAATAAAAAAAACAATCCTCCTTTTCAAAGACGGCATTACGGCAGCGGTGTTTGGTGTTGTCGTGATGTGCTGTTGCATAACTCTCTCTCGCCGCCGCCGCCTTGCTCTATATTAAGCGCTATTGTTTGCGAGCGAAAGTGGACGTCGCGCTTTGTGTGGTTATGCCGTCCGCCTCGCGATGTGAAGGGCGGCCGTGTCTGTACACGCCACACACACGCACGCACACACGCGCGCACGCACACACACACACACGCGCTCACGCACACACGGGAGTCGGGGGGGGGGGGAGCGGTGGTGCAGCGGTTATCGCATCTCGCTACGAATCGGCAACCCGCTCACGACCAAATACAAAGGCGAATATTTGAACCGGTCCTGGGCCTCTCCTAGGTTGGCTCAGTCTCAAATGAGTACCTTGTACGGTGTGCTGGCCACCCACCCCCTCGTGTGCTGTGCCAGCCTTCATAGGTGCTACTCGCCAAAAGCACTCGTCCCAGCAGTCTGATGAAGGCTACACGGGGGATCTTTGTCTTGGCGCTGACCGCCGGAGTTGACAACGCGACAGCGGCTCGAGCTGTAAATGCTGAACCGTTTTTTCGCGTTGCCGAGCCGCCGCCGCCGCACCGCTGACAGTCGCTGCCTGTGCCTGTCTTGAAGTTGGCGCTGAGTCAACTTGCCCTAAAATGAGAACCTGACACGGCGTGGCACCGCCTTTATGGGGTCGCGCCACCCGCTTACGGGGGGTGCCGCCACTTGGCGCGAGCGTTGGCGCTGGGAAACAGCGTTTGCCCTGGCGGGCTCACTGTAAGGAAATTGCAAAAACAAAAGAAACATGTGTCGTTGCTGTATGTACGTACGTTTAACTTATTTTGCATCGTACGCGGCCAACCGTGCTAATCGGAGCTGCGGGGGAAGGACAACAAACTGCTGAGTGTGAACAGGTATGCATTGAGTCCCGAAAGCGCAAAGCTGCCAGCAACAAACAGCACGATGGAAATTGGAACACACAAGAGTGTGAACACTTTTCCTTAATCGAGCAAGGTTATTTTAAGAACGTGTGGCATAGAGATAATGGAAGTGGAGCAGTGCCAGGAAAGAAACATAAATTAGAGATAATGTGGGTGGGTGAGTGTTTGGGTGGGTGGGTGAGTGGGTGAGTGAGCGGGTGTCCTCAACACATAGGACATTAACCACAGTAGCGGTAGCAGTGGGCGCAAATGTGAATCTCGGTGCATTGTGTACACGTACGTGTGTATGCTCGTGTACGTGCGTGTATGCGTGTGCGTGCATGTACGTGCGTGTGCATACATGTGTACGTGCGTGTGTGTGCGGGCGCGTGTACCAGCGGTAATCGTAATTGTTAAAACAGGCATCAAAACAGGCACGGCCATCTGGTGGTGGCGCCATGCGGGGGGAGGTTTTGCGATCTCGCGCACGAGCCCAGCGCGTCATCCGATGAGCGCGGCTGGAACAGATGCTCATCCGCTGGGTCCCGGGACGACGCTGCGAGTGCTGAACCCATTAATTAGCGCCCCCGTGCTGCGTCCGTCTTAAGTGGATTATCGTAAACTTAATTGTTTGTGTTTTGTTGCCGTTTCCCCGCCCCCCCACGCCCCGCGCCTTGCGGACCAGGCGATCGTTATCGTCGTGACGGTCGCGTTCGTGCAGGTACGTGTTCACTTAGCGCGCGTGGTCTGAATTTGCGACGTAATTGTACGACACAAACGCGCGTCCCCTTCTTTGTGCGTGGAGCCGCACAAATTGGGGTTGAGTTCTAAACCGAGTGGATGCTGTATTTAATCATACCTCGTATAAGCACAGTTCTGGTATAAGAGACACGTGCTGACATCACGCTGGTGGGGGGAATGTGAAGATAAATTCCTGATATGCCCAAGGTGGGGTGTGCTCGTATCCAGCTGACACTGGCCCTGCTTCACTGCCGCGCAGAATAGGGGCCTGCAGCCGAGGTTATTAGTGCGGCCACGTTGTATTGGTCAACGTGGCCAAAGCAGCTCGGATGCGGCCACATGCAGAATGAGTCCGTCTGGCTCACGGCTCGCACACTCCCAGGGTGGATCTAGCAGAGGCGATGGCTCGGCTTTGAACACTTCGCAGCTCCGAGGCGTCGTCCCACTCGCTCTCATCGACCGCCTGCGACACGCTTGTCTGTTTACTCATTTATATTTCGTTTGTTTTTGGCTCTCGTTTCTGTTCGCTCCATTGGTGCACTGCTTTGTTATATAATTGCGTTTTTAATTTCGGTGACCCAGGTCACGGTTGCAAATGGGAGACGTCCATCCTGGTGTCTTGTTTGGTCCCTCGCGTGGCGACGCTGACATTTGAGACGCGCGTCTCTGCTTTGCAGGAATACAGGTCGGAGAAGTCGCTCGAAGAGCTGAACAAGCTGGTCCCACCCGAGTGCCACTGGTACGTCGCTCGCTGGTGCCCCCCGTCCCTCTCCCGCCATCCCCCAGCGCCATCGGTGATTAGTGACGGGGGGGGGGGGGGGGGGGGGCGGTGCGTGGGGTTGCCGAGCGAGCGAATTGTGAACAACACCGCCTTTACGCATTTCACAGGAGCCTGGTGATTGGATCAGATTTCCTCCTGTTGCTGTGTCACGTCGGTGTGGTTCAGTACAATTACAATCACGTGTGAAATGCCTACAGCGTGTATATGTGACCGCATCTCTACATGAGTCTATGGGTTAGGTCTGTGGCCTTTCTTGAGCATGTCAAATATGATGCAACGTAAATAGGGCAGGTCTAAATGCGACCCCAGCTCAAGACACTGTACAGATATTGTGGGCATATTTATTTTATATATGTGTATTGTATCGAGAGAGAGGGGCAGTCATTCACACACGAAGGAAACAAGGGAGATCTTGAGCCAGGACTCGGGCAGGGGCAGGAAGTAAACAGCGTGGATGGATAGGGGAAGGGAGTTCCGGACTGTGGGGACAGTAGAGGAGAACGAACAACCTCCCCCTGAGAAAGCCTCGGTTGTTGGAGCGGAGAGGGCGTGGAGGGGCATTAGAGTGAGATGAGAGCGGAGAGGTAGGAGAGTGTGTGGAGGGGAGTAAAGTGAGATGAGAGGGGTAGGAGAGTGCGTGGAGGGGAGTAGAGTGAGATGAGAGGGGTAGGGGAGTGTGTGGAGGGGAGTAGAGTGAGATGAGGGGTAGGAGAGTACGTGGAGGTGAGTAGAGTGAGATGAGAGTAGAGAGGTAGGCAGGGGCGAGTCTGTGGAGGATCTTGAAGCTGGTGAATGCATTCTTGGAATTGATCCAGGATTGGATCGGGTGCCACAGGACATCCTTAACCCAACATCACTCGAGATGAAAAAAAAACAGCACCTCTGTATGAGAATGCTTCGCATTTTTTATCGAGTCAATCATCCCAGTGGTCACAGATGCCCACGCGAGTCTCTCATTGTGCTCGGCATCGACGTTTTACCACACGTGTGTTTTTGAATTAATCCTCAGGAGGGAATGTGCTCACAAAAGCAGCCTCTGCATTAGTTATGAGGCCACCTCAATTATTTAGCGTTTATTTTCGTGCAGCGAACGACTTGCGTAGCCATCGCGTCGCCGCTTCACAGCCAAGGTGCTGCTGTGCTGCCGCTCGCGGTGTGGAGGGTGCTCGCATTCCGCTTCTTCAATTTAAACAAAAGTTGTTGAATCCGCAGGCTGCACCCCCATTGCGGACGAAGCGTGCGTTGGGAATCGCGCGCGGGACGGGGCAGCCTTTGGGCGTCGTGCAACGGCCCCGAAGGAAGCACATCTCACGGAACGACTTTTTGAAATCACTTCGAGTGTCCTTCGTTCCGCACAGTCGGGGTCAGCACTTCCCCACTGGCGTCGTTACCGAGAGCACGGCTCGGCGAATGAGAGCCAAACCCACGTTCACATTCTCAGCTGGAATTGAGCTACTTTAGGTTCAGGATCAAAGTAAACGTGATCGTATTTATTCGTGTAGTCATCGTTGACCGGGCTGAGACCATCTACTCACGGTTCAACCCGAGGTAGTGGCTGAAACCCAGATTCGAGCGCAGGATATTAAGGGTGCCTCCTCAGCATCTCTGCCCTCCGAGCCCCCCGGCGTCCTCTCGGGGAACATGGTTCTTGAGATTTTTGCCACGCGCCACCTTGGCAGCGTTGCCCACGTCGCTGGCAAGTTCTCTGACATCCACTTGGCCTGGCGCCAGCTGCTATATTTGGCCGCCTAGCAGAGCGTGCGCCAAGCATCCACAACCGACTGCAGGGCCTTTGTGTTCTCTGCTATTGTTCAGACGCAGTTTGATTTTATGTGTCGTCTGTCAAAACACAAAGCTATCTTTGGCTGTTGCTGTTCCGACCGGGACAATTATAGTGGGGGCGAGGCGAGAGACGGATCGGCCCTGCATTGTGTCCGTTCCGTTCGCTGCCTCCGAACTCCGCGCAGCATAACACGGAACGCCTACCCGCTCAGGAATTGTTTCATGTCACGTGGCATTGGTTGTGGTAGTAGTAGTAGTAGTAATAATAGGAGGGCCGATTGCCCAGACGGGCATTGAAGCGGTCTGCACAAATCCGGCGACCAAGGTAAAGGCCTCAGAGCAGATGGTGGCAGCTCACCGGGGGTACTCGTCTCCTGTGCAGCGGCTGCACGATCTGGCATTGGGTCGAAAGCATTGCTGCGGTTTTGGCGTTGGCATCGGTGGCTTTGGCTGTGATGGCATCTTGATTTTGAGTACCAATTCAGAGCCCCAACACGGGGAAGAGTTTTGGTTTGGTAAGCAAAGAAAAATGTTTTTAATCAGTGAGCACTATCTGCTGTGACATGTAAATTATAATCACCGTGGTCATGACTGACAAATATAGAACTTTAACTGAAAAGTTCCCAGAGATGCAAGGAAAGATAGATGCTGGGAATTTGACTGAGAGACAGAAAAAGTGCCATGGATGAGGGAATAAACACAAATCAGAACATCATATTGAGAATTTGGAATGGTCAAGACTTGTAGCAGAATGGCAGCCAAACGAGGGAGCGCTTCCAAGAGGACGACCAGAGCGGAGACGGAGCACTGAGATTAATTCGTGTGCAGGAGCGCGATGCACAGTAGTGACACCGGGCCGTGCGGGATGGTGACGGCTTGGGTAGGCCTTCGTCCAGCAGCGGATCGATCGTGGCCAATGGTGTTGATGATGAACGACGGGTGAGGCCGCACAGTAGCCTCAGGCAGGTGGCAGGGCCCGGCGGCCGCGGCCTCCGTCGAAGCCGCGTTGGGCCGGGTGAGGCCCGCCGGGGCCCTCGTGGCCTCCGCTGGCACCGAGAGCGCCACTTGGCATGCGGCGGTGCCGGCGTTTCGCGCGCCTGCGCCCCCGGGAGGGATCGGCTGGTTACAATCGATGGCAAGCTCTGAATTATGCACGTGTCGGATGTTTCGATTTACATTTTAGATCGAGCGTTTATTTTTTATTTTAGCCGAATTATTAATAACTTCGCCTTCAGCGGCCTTGCCGCATCTCAGAGGCCAAGAGGGGCGGGGCCTGGTTACTGCTTGGATGGGCAAACGTAACTACCGACAAAAGGGCTGTCCGTGTACAAGTGCGATTATAACACCGGAGGAGTGCGATGTCACATCTAGTCCCAATAATAACTATAACACTTATCAAGTTTTTATGGCCAGGCGAGAACCTAAGAGACCAGGATAGACTCATTTGCAAGACAGACCTGGAGGCATGAGTCTGCCAGTAGTAGGGGGCGATGAAGGCTGCTCTGCATATAATCCAAATTGAATAAGTTGCGTGTCATTTTCAAATTTTGCTCATGGTCCTGACGCCCGCACACAAATGGTCTACTCTTGCGAATGACGTCAGGGGATGTTTAATATGTGTGGGTGGGTGGGTGCGTGGGTGTATTGTTGTATCCTACCTTGTGGTGGTGAGTCCTCAACTTTGCTGGAGGAATCAATGAGTGATGATCATGGAAACGGTAACCATGACGGCAGCGATGATGAGCGGGCGAACTGTTCACCGGTGAGTGAGCGAGCAAGCGGTGTGAATCGGTGAGCGCTCGGATCATCGGTCACCGTGACTGCCGCTTCACTCTGAACTCTATCCGGTGCCGCGGTGAGGTAGCAACTGGGTGCTGCACCCCAGATCCTATAGCGGCAGAATCCCAGCCTGGGCTGAACATTCGTGACTGGCGTCTTGTGACCACAGCGTCCGCGAAGGCCGCATGGAAAAGCTGCTGGCGCGTGAGCTGGTGCCGGGCGACACCGTCACGCTCTCCGTGGGCGACCGTGTCCCCGCCGACCTTCGCCTCTATGAGGTAGGCCTCGCTTCTGTCACGACGCGGTGACGTGGCCACGTGGGGGTCGTATTGCTGCTGCGATAGTCGTTTGTGCCCCGGAGTTCAAGCAGTGTTCAAGTATCCTTACCAGGTGGTCCAAATGGTATCTCAGACTGAAGCTGCGCGCTAGACTGGTTGGGATGTGACATGGCCGAGCGGTAGCGCGTTCACCGCTTGCTGCGGAGGGTCACGGTTCAAATTCGGCGGCCGCCCTGGTTAATTTATGCGCTGGGTGTACTAACCGTAACCGCTTCAGAGGACGTCACAGATCGCCCGATATTACACTGCGAATTACTCAATTGTATTGTACACACAGCAGCAATCATCGCCCCCCCCCCCTCCTGGCAGGCCGATGCCCCCCCCCAGGTCACACTTACGCATGAGACACTCACCTGTGGTCTCTTGAAATTTCACCTGGTTGCACAAAATCAACCTGAAACCTCAACTTGTAATGCTGGGGGCCTTGAGCTGCCGTGGCATTGCGGCGAGCGCCTCCTACGCTGGCGGTCACCCTGACGCCGGTCCCATGGGGGGCTGGGATGTTCCCCGTTGTCTCCGTGCAGTCGATCGACCTGTCCATCGACGAGTCGAGCTTCACCGGCGAGACGGAGCCCAGCAGAAAGACGACGTCCACCGTGGCGCGGGGCCTCAACGGCGACATGGCGGCGCGCACCAACATCGCCTTCATGGGCACGCTGGTGCGCTGCGGCAAGGGCAAGGTGCGTGCGGCGATCCACGCCGACCGGCCGGCGCCCGTCCCATGCCGGCTCGGTCGCTCGCTTGCTCACATCCCCACTCGCTCACTCACTCGCATCTCCATTGAATGACTCGCTCACTTACGTCGCCCTATGAATCGCTGTGCTCACACACGTCCCTACTAAATCACTCGCTCGCCAACTCGCATCCGCACTCGGGCACTCACATCTTACTCATTCGCATCCTTAATAACTCGGATCCCTACCTACTCAGCCGGAAGGGCGCGTTGGGTTCCCTCTAACGAGCGTCCTCGCTCCGCCCGCCCGCTCGTTACAATCGCGTTGCCTGCGCATCAGTCGGCTCTTAATTTCTCCCGCGAGCGAGACGAGCGTCGCGTGCGGGAAGACCGGCCGCGGAGAAAGGAGCAAGCCGCCGCCGCGCTTCGTGGAGTTGAAGCGTTCGGCCCTGGAGTGCCGTCGTCCAAACCTCACCGCACGCGTTGTTTATTTTTCTGTCCTCGTACGGAACATTTATTCCCACCTTAAGTCTACTCACGAGAGTAAATATCACAGGCCCTGCAAGCCAGCCGAGGCCACGATGCCATCTGTTTTTTTCCACTTGTGAGCAGCCCTGTAGAGTGACCTTGTTTAAAAGAGGGAGGGGTATACGCAAACTCAGGTGGGGGGAGTTGAGTAACGGTGCCATGGGCTTTTGCCTGCCAGAAGGGGGTGCTGAGCCTTCACCAATGCGCGGGGGGGGGTGGGGCCCTCATCCCCCTGCAGCCTTACCCCGGCGCTCCGGGGCTACACGCGAGGCTCCGGGTGATGCCGAAGCGCCCTAATTGCCGTGGCGGCTGCGGAGAGAGAGCCCAGCGGTTGGAGGCTGCGGGGAGGGAGATGAAAGCGGCCATTTGGGCGGCCGCGGAGCGCTGTGCCACGAGCTCGCCGGCCCTAGCGGAGACATCAGAAGCCGGCTTTGATAATCCGCCTGTGCACTGAAGTTGTCAGCGTGGCAGTGTGATAAAAAAAAAAACATTCAAAGATAATTTTTCATGCAAATTAATTTTAATTACTCTGTCAAGCTGTTTGTGCGGTGTAACCGTGGCGCTTATTTGCTGCTCCGTGTGAAGTTCTGTGAGATTGGAGCCCTACCTCCTATTCACGGCAGCAAACACCCATGCATGCAGCAGTCACACCACTACCACCATCAACATCATCATTAGTTCATTTGGTATTAGCACCGTTCTTACAGCACAAGGCCAAAAACGACACGCTTACTCAGCCACACACTCGCACACTCTCCCACACCCTCTGCCACCTATTCACGCTCTCACACACTCAACTCTCTCATCCGGTCATTCTCCCACTCACTCACCACACCGCAGGTCACAATGTTCCCCTTTCTGCTTCTTCCCTTGCACTGCTCAACTTTGGAATCTCTTCCCATCGTCGTCTCTTTCCCCCAACAGATCTTATGACAATGACCTTGCCCAATTCAGGGACCGTCGCGTTACGCTCCTAATCCATTACGACTTGGATCGCGCTGTTTGTTTCTGGCCGTTTGAAGTTTTGGGCCTTAGAGGCTGTGCTCGGCAACTGCGTAAAAGTAACAAAAAAAACGTAAGCGGAGCGGGACGCCGGCGGCGCTGCCCTCTCCGTCCGACTCTCGTCGCCGCGCGCCCGCGTGCCGTGCTTGGGGCGCCGCTATGAAGCGCCGCAGCCGGAGCGACCCACGGGCGCAGCGCTTGCTCACTTGTGCCTACCGTGGCGGCGCCCGTGCGGGCAACCATCCATCCGCCTTCCGTGTCGAGCGCGGTTTGAAAGTCGCGGTCGCTGTTCGCGATAAAAAAAAAAACGGCGCGCGTTATGAATCGCGTCATTATTACTTCTGTATTATTATTGCCGAGGTTGGTTTTCCGTTGCCCCTTGTGTGCATTTGGCGTCCGTTCAAACCCAAACTGTACGGGCGTGGAAAGGAAGGCGCCGCTCTGTTGTTATTATTGCACCGCGAGGGCGCAACTACAAACACCCGGCAGCAGCGGCACAGCAGGCACAGCAGGAGGCCAGGGGCGGCCTCTTCGATTCCACTATTCAAACGAAACAAGAATGGAACCCGTGCTTATTAACTATTTTAAAATTACACGTGCGTGGAGTGGCGGCGGAGTGCTTGGCGCCCTGCGCTGTGATGATGGCCGCCTGAGTTCGATTCCCTGCCGCGGCGGCTAAGATCGGTGGCGAGTGATATCTGAACCGGTCCCGAGCCCCCCCTTCCCCACCGGCCCCCACTGGGCAGCGTGGTGAAGTATGGTCAAGTGACCCCATTGATCTACGTGGCATTTGGAAGCGCGTGTCCGGCAGTGGATTGACGAATGTCTATGATATGCGAATCTTGCATTGAGGCCAATGCAGTGGACAGATTTGTAAAAGACCAGAGCGAGAAAAACCAAGAATCAATGCGAATGAGTAAGTAAAAATTAGACAAGTTGAACAATTACTCTTTGGGTCTTTCGGTAAAGTCACGTAGATAGGTTCAAAGAAAATAACAAAAATAACAAAAAACTACGACGTTTCTATCGCAACGCACGCGGTCATCATCCCTTTTTTCCCCTCCTGATGACGACCGCTTGCGATGGAAATGTCGTAGTTTTTTGTTATTTTTGTTACTTTCTTTGAACCTATCTACGAAAGACCCAAAGAATATGAATTCCTGCAGTCATGAAAGCTTTAAGTCAAGATTTAAGTTTAACAATTGTTAAATTACATCAGGACCCTGAATCGTGACATTTAACAAAGTTGTTGGGAGGGGGGGTGGCCGGAGTGAAGCGGAACAGGTCTCATCATCAGAATAATCATCGTCATCAACGTCATCATCGGTTCCGTGGGGGTCGTGGGGACTAGAAACTTTCTCCGCAACTTGTGGACTTTAACGGTCTGTTCAGCGCCTGCTTGTCCAGAACACTCCGTTCATCACCACAGCACACTTCCTTGGCTGGCCTCACCAATAACAATATTAGTGGTAAAGCCCGGTTTTCTCAAGCGCTCTACCCTGCTGGATAGTGTCGTCGGGAGCATCATCAAAGCATTGCGGCTCCCTGCTCCTCCTCCTGCTCCTCCTCGCTGTTGCCAGTAGTGGACTTGCGTGCCCGTATCTCGTTCCTCACCTGTAACAAGCCGAGGCAGGTGTTTATGCAGCTATTTGAAACCGGAATGTTTCGGCGGGCCCGTCACTCTCTCCATTGTGAGACGCGGTCGGGAACTTGGCTTCCAAGAGGTCGTTAGGGGTCCACATGACCCGGCCAGAGGCATCTGGAGCCAGCAACGCATTCCGTGAAAAGTGATTATTAAAGCAAACGCTGCGGGTGCTCTTTGTCGTTCAGCAGAACAGTCAGAAGTCACCAGCTGTTGTGGAATACATCAAACTGGGGGGGGAGGAAACTGGTGTGTATTCTGAAGGATGTTTGCCAAGAAGTGCATTGTGAAGCCAAATACACAAGAGCTGTTGTTTGTTGAGGCTGAATGAGCCTGGGTCGGGGTGGGCTGGGAGAGGAAGCCGTGGGGAGCTGGCTTCGTGTTTTTTGTTTGGCATTGTGGCCTCTGCACAGTGGCACCTGGGGGTCTCCTAAATGTTCACTTCAATTCCGCATCACTTCACCGATTCGCAGGTGACTTGAACCTGACGGCAACACACAGATGGGTCCGCTGGTGCGGTGCTGGTTGAGGATTGGGGCACACGGACAGTACTTGCGTGGGTTTTCACGTTGCGCCGCATAGCTCTCCGATGTGACGGGTTGCGCCGCGCGTTGTTCGGCACGATATCCGACGTTTCGCTCGACGTGCTGGCAGCGGCACAAACCCACAAATGCATCGGAGAGCTGCACGAACACTCGCGGTGGCCGCAGGGAGCAGGAAAGCTGCTGCAATGGTTTGGCCGTGCTACTCGGAGAGCAGAGGGGACTTGCTAGCAGCCTCCTGCGGGACCTGTCGGAAAGGACAAGGAAGAGATGTCAGCCCGAGAGCAGCTGACTCATGATGATGATGAACGTAGCGTCTGCGACAGGCAGCACCAGACGTTGTGCAAACGCAAGAGGTGATGAGGATAATGCCAAAGCGTCAGACGTGCCCCCAGGACAATGGCGACGACGATGATGATGACAATAATTATGATGATGAGGATGATGCTTATAATAACAGTCCTCACCATAACCTCATCATCAGCCGCCCTCCTTGCTCTCGGACGCAGTCGTTTCCTTGGCCCGGTCCCTCGAGGTGGCAGAGGCCTCTGCTCTGACCTAGGAGTGGTCGCTTCTCGCCACCAGGGCCCAGGGAGAAACAGACCGACCATGCCAACCGCGATGTCCCTCGACCCCCACCTCTCCCGACCATGGCAGCGCCCCGCAGTGCTCCAAATCTACCGCACGGTTCTACGCCTGCTCGAGCGCTTCAGGGTCGCGACGCCGAATATTTTCATCTTGTGCCATTGCGCTTCAAACTCGGTAACCCGAGTTCGGTTCCCGGCCACTGCTAGCATCCATTTCGATGCGTGAACCGATCTCGTGTACCGCCTCACACCAGACTTCACAGACCCGAACTGACCAGCGTGGTGAAGTCTCCATCTGACCGGTGGATTGGCAAGAGGCTGTGCTCGCCACGCTGCGACCGATGACCGTATGAGGGTGGGCGGGATCTGTGTAGACACTACGTCGTGGTCGTGGTGGTGGTGTTGTTTGAGCCGTGATGCGGTCGCGCGGCGAGCCCCGGCGCCTTCCACCCCCGCGTGACCCATGACGCCCCGCGTGACCCATGACGCCCCGCGTGACCCATGACGCCCCGCGTGACCCATGACGCCCCGCGTGACCCATGACGCCCCGCGTGACCCATGACGCCCCGCGTGACCCATGACGCCCCGCGTGACCCATGACGCCCCGCGTGACCCATGACGCCCCGCGTGACCCATGACGCCCCGCGTGACCCATGACGCCCCGCGTGACCCATGACGCCCCGCGTGACCCATGACGCCCCGCGTG